AAAGAGGGATAATTAATGGAGAATTTAATTCTCCGTCGAACTGCCCTTTTTTCATCCCTTAATCTCAATTAGGAGGGGAGAAGTGAATTTTTAATTCGCGGGCGAATCGTGAATAGTCAGTATGCGCCGCCAAAAAATTATTTTTCTTACTGGCCCCTAACTTTCATGGCAGTTTTTAATTTTTTGTTACAGAGATTAAGGGATGAAAGAGGGTCTGTTGATGGGAAATTTACTTCTCCGTCGAACTGCCATTTTTTCATTCCTTAATTTCAATTAGGAGGGGAGAGGTAAATTTTTAACTCACGTGCGAATGGTGAAAAGTCAGTGTGCGCCGCGAAGAAATTATTTTTCTTACTGGCCCCTGACTTTCATGGCAGTTTTTATTTTTTTGTTACAGAGATTAAGGAATGAAATAGGGTTAATTAATGGAGAATTTAATTCTCCGTCGAACTGCCCTTTTTCCATCCCTTAATCTCAATTAGGAGGGGAGAGGTGAATTTTTAATTACCAGGAGTCACGGTGCGCCGCAAAACAATTATTTTTCTTACTGGCCCCTGACATTCATGGCAGTTTTTATTTTTTTGTTACAGAGATTAAGGGATAAAGGAGGATTAATTAATGGAGAATTTAATTCTCCGTCGAACTGCCCTTGCTTCATGCCTTAATCTCAATTAGGAGGGGAGATGTGAATTTTTAATTCGCGGGCGAATGGTGAAAAGTCAGTGTGCGCCGCGAAAAAATTATTTTTCTTACTGGCCCCTGAATTTCACGGCAGTTTTTATTTTTTTATTACAGAGATTAAGGGATAAAAGAGGGATAATTAATGGAGAATTTAATTCTCCGTCGAACTGCCTGTTTTTCATCCCTTAATCTCAATTAAGAGGGGAGAGGTGAATTTTTAATTGGCGGGCGAATGGTGAAAAGTCACTGTGCGCCGAGAAGAAAATCATGTTTCTCACTGGCCCATGACTTTGTCGTAGTTTGTATTTTTTTGTTACATAGATTAAGGGATGCAACGGGGATCGATTGATGGGGAATTTAATTCTCCATCACACCGTCTGGGTTTCATTCCTTAATAATAATTAGCCAGCAAATGAATCACCTGAAAAACATTAAGAACATGTTGAGGACGAGGAAACATTAACTACCCTACGGCACTATCCCTATGACAGCGGGACTGCCACTGCCGAGGTACCCGCACAGGCAGATCGGCCTGCCGTCAGAATCGACCGTGGCGCCATCCCTCCGTTGGGGTCGAACTATTTTTAGCTTGGGAGCACTTCAACCAGAGATTATAGGGGAGATGAGCAGGGACAATGTAAAGTGTTCAACAGAAAGATTCAAAGCGGTGGCACATGGACTACGATGGAGCGTACGGAACTGTTGGTATGGTAGGGCCCGAGCATAAATTTGTCGATAACCGGAAAGGGGTTCTCAATACGGTAGCTCCTCGCATTTTGTAATAATTGTCAGGAATGTAAAATCGAACATATTATAATCAATATTATAGTGAATGCACAATCTAATGATCTAAAAGTCTTTTCCTTTTTCTCGACATATTTATTATTGACACGTACGTCAAAAAATTCATAGAAAATCCCAGCGCAGTCGCTGGAAAACTNCGCGGAAATTCCGGGAACACTTATTGGGAATTTTTATCGCGTTGCCGTAATAAGGAAATTTCAAGGAATTTCGTCATTGCAAATTAAAAATTTCTATGAATTTCAGTCCAACGATATGTGTACGTCCACGTGAAAAGGGCCCATTTGATCGCATCTAATTTCCAAGATATTCACGCTTTTCTCTCTATGTACTCCATTTGTTAAACCTATGTACTCCCATTGTTAAATTGATTTTTTGATCTTTTGTGCGGACGTCACACGGAGAAAAATAAATCGGTAAAAGACTTGCGATCGCAAGGAGTTTCCCGAAGATCCCCATTTTTCATGCACGAAGAACAATGAAGCTTTTTGGAATCTTCGCGAAATTCTATCCTA